ACTTAAGTGCAAAAATTGAATATTTTACATCAAATTTGCGTTATACACGTTTGGGTGGAATCTTAGTGATGATCTGCATTCTTTTTATCAATCTTACACAAATTTCGTTTTTATCATATCTATACACAAACATTATTTTGAAATGTGGTAAACAAACTTATAGTTTAACATCTAAACGTCCGAAAAATCAGCAGATTTATTTTTATTGTATTTTTTTATTTTAATTGGAATTATATAGAGATATATTTCTCGGATTATTTTTACGTACAAGTTATTATATTGTTGTAATTAGTTATTATTTTAATCCTGTCTCGGAGTTGTATGCAACTATATTTTAATTTACTTCGTATATTTCGAACTTTATGTTTATGATTTTATATTTGTATATCTTCACCGCCAATCTGTGATTGGTTTCTTGTAAATACTTTGTAGTTATAAAATAAACATGAATAAAAAAAAAATTATTCACCTCATCAAATTAAGTACTGCAAAGTTCTAGGGTTGGGATTAGGTTACAAATACTAACATATGGTTTTCATTACGTGTTAACATTTGCAGCTCTTGTAAATACGTTGTTATTTTGTTTTTATCAAAGTTAAGTTACATTTTTTTTTTATTACTTAAACTTAAAAAATTCCTTATAGTTGTTTAATTTGATTATTGTAGGTTTTAGCTTTATTTTCAGAAAGCGTTCGTTGTTTAAGTTTAATAGTGATTCGTTTCTGGAAACTAATTTGTTAATTAAATAGGGACCACGATATGTAATTGAGAATTTTGAGAGTCTTTTTATTTCAAACGGTATCTTAAAGTTGCCTGTTACTCTTGTATTTATTTACGTTTTTTTTGAAAAAGTGTACTGTAAAATGTTCTGGAACCAGACCTAGTTTATATTTAAATATAAAAAGTATATTTTGAAAAAACATTTATTTGAAATATATTAACTGCGTTCATTTGTTCCAGTAAGGGCTGAGCGTGAGTATATTTCTTTTTGTTGTATACTAGTCTTGCAGCGTGTTTTTGACGTAAGTAAAATGTTTCTAAGTTAGATTAATGGGTACTGTTCCATGCTTTATTGGCATACTTGAGGTAGCTATGTATTAATGAAAAGTAGACAAGTTTTAGACTTTTTTGTCACAAAAATGGTCTTGCTTTGTAAAGTAAACCTATGTTCTTTGATATTTTTGTGTCTATGTAGTTAATGTGTGGTTTCCAGGAGATGTGTTCATCAATTAGAACTCCTAAAAACTTTGTATTTAGAGCTCTTTTGATGGTTATATTTTCTATATTAATTGTTGGTAGGTTCAGGGGTATTTTTTTAATTTTTTGATTAGAGTGGAATAGTATCCCAGTAAGCACAGATCGTTTTTAAAACATTTAAAAAACATTTTCATAGGTTTTTTAAACGTTTTAAAAACGCTCTGTGCTTACTGGGATATACTTACCTTTTTCTATATTGAGTGTCAATTTATTTGATTTAAACCATTTGTTTTTTCAAAGAGGTTATTTAGCTGAGTAATTACAAAAGTCTATTGATGAAGAAAAAAAACATTCTTATTATGCATAAAAAGAGTTTTAGACCTTTTGAACCTAACGTTTTGGACCTAATATTTTAGTTTTTTTAATAATTAAAACATTAGTTGTAAATTGAAAATAAATAAAACAATCGTAAATAATATATCCATTATTTCTAAAAACTATTATAAAAAAAACATACCATAAAATTATATAAATCAGTTCTAAATTCTTTCTTACCATTAACTATCAGGAAAAGAAAATGCAATAGCAGACAAATTTTACTTATTTCGTGGTTCTTCTTTTAGTTATTATTATTTTTTTTTTTTTAAAGAATTCGAGTTTTTTATACAATTACTCATTACTCTACGCATGACCAAAATACATTAACATCGATATCATTAATTTTTGTCAAAGCAATTATCAAGTAATTTTGGAGTTCAGTTTTACGCTAATGCCAAGAATGTTGGATTAAGGGTAATTATTTTATAAAACAATTTCCTCATAGTATATAGAATAAAAATACATATCAAAACATACTTCTTTTAAGCATTCATAAACATTATGCCTAATATGTATTCTTACGAAATTTTATGATTTTGAATTTCAATTATTTTTAAAATATGCCATACCAATTTAATCAAAAACAATGGGGGTCACGGCAAAAGTTTTTTTTGTTAAAAGTGCTGGTAGCGTAAATCTTAATACAATATGCTGCATCTATTCTCGCTGACCCGGTTGAAATTGAATGCATTGAGCGACAATATATTTACTCTGTGGGCGAGATTAAGTTAATTTGGTAGGTTGAGCAAAAAATAATTTTATGCATATTCTACCATTTCAAGCGATTGTAAATGTTATTACAATAAGAGAATAAACAGTGGATAACAAAATTATATTATAATCTAAAATGCACAATAAATAGTTAACTTGGTAGAGTTGCATTAGCTGGTTTGATTTCGGCAAATTAAGTAGCAAAAAAATTACCAAAAACCAACAAATTTTCTTTAAGAGATACTTTTTTATTAACAATTCTTTTGAGGTTAAAGTTGTTTTGATCTTGATAAGGCTGATTTGCTGCTCTAATTGAACGTCTTTTTGATGTGTGAGTTAACTGACATTTAAGCAATTAAAGATGGTGGATGTGATTGTGTGTTGGGTGAAATTACGTAAAGTTACTCTATTTGTTTAATTAATATATTTATGTGATAATATAATAGGCCGGGTGAATAAAAAAAAGCATTTGCTTTTACATAGTAATTGGTCACCTTTAGGTAAATATTCAAAAATTTTGGTCAAACTTTTGTTTACATAAAGTTAAACAATCGCTCAGCGTTTTTAGGGTAAACTGCTTAGCTTTACGAGAATAAAAATTGGAGAGAATTTGCTAAAAGTTTTATTGACGTAAAGCTGAACAATTACTCCAAAAACCCTGAGTAAAAGCAATTGCTTTTTTTTTTATTCACCCGGCCTAATTATTTTCCCTATAAGAGTTGTCATACATTTTAATTAATTGCTATATTTTTTTTTACAAAAAATTAAAAAAATCTTTTTAGAAGTTTTTTTAACCTAAAAAAAAAGTGGGCTACGGTTTTGGCTTATTATAGGAATTATTAACGGAAAACGGGTCAAGATGGTGAACGTTTTGAAAACCCTGCTAAACTGTCAGTCATGTAGCAATAATACTTTGTCACTAATTTTTTTTATTATAATGATTAATTTCCTGCATAAACTTTTAGCTTAGTAGGTAAAAATTTTGTAATAAAAACTAAAATGTATAAATCATAAATTTGTCATCTTGTCACTATACTGGGACAAAATGATTCTTATGCATTTCCTGCCTTCAATCTTTAAAATTTTAAAAACTTTCAGTTATTTTAACTAAAGTAACACAAAATAAACATTGATCACAAAAACTATCCCTAAAAAACTGACACCTGAACTACACCACTCATTAAAAGTGACACCTGAAGCACACCATTTATTAGTAATAACCAAAACCGAAGTATTTCTTAATGCGCAAAAAAAAAACTTATGCCTATAAATTACATTATAAATAAAATATAAATTGGTTCTTTTTAAATAACAAAATAATAATATTTAAAAATAACCAATTGGTTTTATATAATACAAGATAAAAATACATATTTATAACCATTTTTAAATTTTTTTTTGAGTTGTTATATAAAAAGTTGTTTTCTTCTATTTGCTATTAGGCCTTTTTTTTTTTATTTGCTGTTTTCTATTTAATTTATTTTTATTTATTTTATTTATTTGCTATTAGGCTTAAGGTAATATTAAATTTTGTTCTAAAAATTGTTACCAATATAAATAGAATATAAATTTTTTATAAGTTTTGCACCTAATAATCATTTTTAAAGTTTACACTATTTTACCCCGGGGATTAGGTAAGTTTTCGAACCTTTTTTTTAGACGGCTCTAATGGGACGTCCATACAGGCCATTTTAGACGTTTGTTCTGATGTTTACCTATTTTTGACGTATCGTCTATTTTCTGACCGAATTAAAACCAACAAAAATAACGCTATTGTCAGCTATTTCAATTGAAAATTTTATAATCTTTTATGATTTTTTTATCTGTTTTTTTTCTCTATTAATATAGACAAATATTATTGTTTCATTAAAAGAACTTTTTAAAAAACAAATTTTAACTACAGCTAATTTAAAATCATTTTTATAAAATTAATTTCTAAAATCATTCTTATTATGCATAAAATAATTTCCGTATGAATAATAAATCTTCATTAATAGCATATGCTCGATCAATAATTTATGCTTCATTAACAATTTAAGTTCATTCAATAATTTATGCTCTATCAATAATTTATGCTCCAACATTAAACTTATATATTATTGAGCAATAATTAAATAGATTATTGAACAATAGTCTAATTGATTATTGATGAAACATAGACCATTAATGGAGCATAAATTATTGATAGAGCATATAATATTGATGGACTATAAATTATTGGTGGAGCATAGCTTATTGATCGAACATAGATTATTTATCTCCATCAATAGTTTATTGATAGAGCATAGATTGTTTATCTTCATCAATAGTTTATGCTCTATCAATAATCTATGCTTCATCAATAACTTATCAATAAAATAATTTAAAAACTTTTAAAAATATTCTACTCTAATTAAATCGAGTTGAATAAGCTTGAATCAAAATAAACGTTGGAAATTTTGAGGGAAATCTCCGGCATCCAGAAACAAAGACAAGTAAAATTCCTATTAAAATAATAAAGGTATGAAAATTTATAATGACGCATACAATGATTATTTACAAAAACTGTATTTTTAATTTTAATTAGAGAATTTAAAACTTTCTTTTAAAATTTTCATTTCTAATAAATCAGTTGGTCACGATGATATTTATTACAACGTAATTATTGACACTTACTAAGTCACTAAATATATTCTATTTAAAATTTTACATTTTTTAATAAAGCAGGGTATTTAAAAAAAAATCTATAACAGCCCGAGTTTCAACGATATTCAAATAAGCCAATCCAACCAATGTTACAATTTTTTTTCTGTTTTTCCTAAAGTGTTAGAAATTTATAAAACTTATTTTTTAAACATCTATAATTACAATAATATACACAATTAACAAGAATTCAAAAAAGTAATTTGATAGAATATGAAATACTCTAAAATACAGTAATGCAAATACGCAGTATTGCTGAATCTTTTCAAAAGTTCCAATATACACTGGATTTTCATAGATTCATTTCAATTCCTTAATACAACTGATCACAAAATTTACTTTGAAAAAATTGAGTAATATGGAGTTAAAGTAAATGTTTATTCATATCAAGCCTATTTTATTTAAAATAAAAATTATAGATATTTTCAGATTTTAAATTTTTTTTTCAATTACCTTGTTTATATGTAGTTGCGCTATTGTATTTATTAACTACATAAACGTATCAATTCCTTAATACAAGGATGGGGAGGGGATAAAATGAGAAGTGGGAAGCTTATATGCAGTTGCGTTATTGCATTTACTAATTACATGTTTACTTCTTACTAGTTTGATTGATATTATTTTGATTTTTAGGTTAATTATTGTGGTACTCTCGACTCCTTATTACAAATGAAAATGGTTTGGGGAGAGGGATGGAGAATAAATTTGAAAAATTTTAATCAGAGTTAAAAGAATGCAATTTAGATAAATCAGGAAAACAAAAATTAGAGAGCGATTTAAAAAGAACTGATGTTCAACAAAAGAACATAAATGGCAATAAAAACAAAAATTAGAGAGCGATTTAAAAAGAACTGATGTTCAACAAAAGAACATAAGTGGCATAAGAGACGCTGTTTCTTTGGAACAGCGTCCATTATAGTATTTATAAAAAAGAGAAAAAAACAACATTACAGCGATGTTACAATCGTTGGTTGCTAATGCAGGTCCAAATATATTTACTATGCGTTTTTGCACCTTATCTAAAAGAGAAGGCGCATCATTCAAAGATCCGCTCCAGATTTGGCAACAGTACTCCATACATGGGCGGATTTGAAATTTATAGAGAATAGAATCTAGAGTTAGATAGTGACAAACACGATAAAAAGATGCAACCTAAGTAGATGCTAAACTTGAGATTGATTTGATATATGGTTTTCAAGTAAGAATTAATCCTAGATTTAAAGGGTAGATGATTAATCGAGTACATTACCGTTCATAAGTATAGGAAGGTCTAAATTATTGCAATAACAATTGGCTGAAAAATTGAGTTTTATCTGAATTAAAGTTTACCAGCCACTGTGAGCCCAATGCTATAGCAGAAGTAAGATCTTTTACAAGCTCAAATGCCCCCTCCAAGCAATCAAAGAGTGTTGGCTTCTTATCATAATAAGAAAAAATGGTAGTATCATCAGCGAACAACGCCACCTTAGATGTAAGAGTTTCTAGGAGATCGTTATTGCAATTAAAAAAAAGTATAGGGTCAAGGATAGAACCTGATGGAACCCATGAAGTTTCTATAAATGAAGAAGAGTGCTGTCCAAGGACAACATTTATACTACAATTGGTACGGAAGGATTCAATAATCCTAAAGATTTTACCTGATACACGCAAAGAATATAACTTATGGAGAAGACCAGCATGCCAAACTTTATCAATGGCTTTACAAATATAGAGAGGAATAGCATTAACTTTCTGAAATCCATTTTAATTTTCAGAAAGTAAGTTATTAGATTCAAGATGAAAGATTAAGTGTTTGTTAAATAAAGGCCTTACTTATGATAAGAAGAAGCCTAACGGGACAGTAGTAAAACGAGTTGAACCACTCTCCAGAATTTTTGAAAATAGGAATAACAGTTGTTGCTTTCCAGCAGACTGGAAAAAAAGACTATGATATGCCCTTATTAAATAGTTTTGAAAGTAAAATCGACAGCTCCGGAGAACACTTCTGAAAACTATGGGAAAATAGGTATGATGTCCAGACCACAAGCTGTAGAAGAGCCTAAGTAGGAAATTAATATAGATACAGATACTGGAGTGATTTGTATGTCAAGCAACAGATAAACCTGTTTGTCGACTATATTAGGTAGGATGTGATTATTGGAATCAGAAGATGATATCGATGAAAAGGTCTTAGCAAACAATTCAGTTTTGTCTTTAGGTGACGGAACAAAATCTTAACCATGCAAGAGAGGGAATAACAGATTTGTCCTTGTTGTAGACACTGTTGTGTTGTAGACACTTGTTGTAGACAAGTTGTTGTAGACACTTGTGAAAGATTCTCCAGAATTCTCTAGAGTCTAATTTTTGAGATAAAATATGAGATTTTGTGACTTAAGAATAGCGGGCTTTAACGTTAAACAAAATCTTTTTACAATAGTTTTTAGCAATAGTAAACAGACGTCTTTTTTCTAAAGAATTATTTTGGTGATAGATATGGCTTCTTTAGCCATTACTTCATATCTATCCTTTATGGATAGATATGAAGTAATGGCTTCAATTGGAAGTTTGCAGCAGCACAATGTAAGAAAAACCATGGAAAGGTGTGAGGCTTGACTTGGAATGGTCGAGAGGGAATATAATATTCCATCCCAGTTAGAATCCAAGAATATACGAAGCCCATTTGTCAGCAAGAAGTCGAAAGATTTTAACCCAAGGGCTATTGTGGAGAAAATCACGGAAAGAGTCTCAGTCAGCTTTAAGATAGTTTTAAGAGGTACAATGATAGGGAAATTCTGACAATGAATAAGAATTAGACAATAGCTTTAGAGAGATTAAACCGTGATTAGAAGCATTGAAGGGTGAAGGTGAAGAAACATAGTACTGACTAGTATCAGAAACAAGACATAAGTCGAATAGAGAAGGTAAATGATTCGAAGTGTCTGGAAAGCGAGTTGGAAAGTTGACTTTAAATGTTAGAAACTGAGAAAGGCAAAGGTTGTGGGCCCATGGCCTACTTAAATTACACGGCCTGATTTGTTGCATTTTCCGGAAAAAATTAAGAGGCCAGTTTTTTTACGGCTCAAGTATAAAAACTTAATTTTCTATATGGTTATGAGTCTTGTTTGCACTATAATTAGTTTATTCTTATTTTATTAAAATGGTTTAATAATAGTTAGATTTTGTTTGAGTACTCACACTATTTTGTGCTGGATTTTTTGTTAACTGATCGCCTGTTTCAGTTTATTCTAATAACACAGAATACTAAAATAGGCTTTCAGATAGCTATATCAACACATACCAACATGCTACTAAAAATAACCTTACATGTTGCTAAGATTGTCTCATACTCTTCATTGAAAAAAAAATCAAAGGTTTGTAGTTTTGTATTTTTTATAAATGAAATTAAAAGAAGAAATACCTTTTTACTAGGAATATTTATTTTGTCTTAGCCTTTTTTGTAATTTTTTTACTTGATCTTTACTCAATGAATATGTAACTTCTTTTTGCAAATTGTTATAAAAATATTATTAACAATACGAGATCTTTATTTGATTCCCCACTTTTGGTGCTTTTCATTGTAAAATTGTCATTGCTACAACAAATCTATAAAATTTGTTTTGCAAATTTTTAATTGAAAAAGAATGACTGCAATTTTTTATTTGAATAAGAGAAATAGCATAAAATACTAAACAGAAGACAAATAAAGTTAGACAGGTTAAACTGCATGTAAAGGTTCTTCTCTGAATAAAGTAACATTTGTTAATCATAAATTTAGCATAAAAATCTTTTTGTTAATTTTTACATTTATTCCTTGCTTTAGTATATAAATCTGTGCTGTTTTTAAAAAGCTGACACTAGTAATTATGTAGACAACTAAGCTAAATCTTGCATAATTTTTTTTAATGATTATCAAAATTTTGATAAAATATTTTTTGGGAAAATCCGCGAAAATCTTTTTACTAATGCATGTTTCTAATTATACTTACTTTTTTACTAATGCATGTTTTTAATTATACTTACTAAAACCTAGCTCCAAAAGATTACTTTGTAAATTAGAACTAAGAACAACTGCAAAGCCTTCCTCAAAAAAAGCATTCATAAGAGATACAGTTGCTTGTAGGGTTGTTGTAAGAGCACAAGAAGTTTTTTTAGTTAATGTAAAGTATTTATCAAATTTTATTTTGATTAAATTTCAGTGCTATTTACAATTTCTCTATAAAGTGTGGGTTTATTATCAGCTTTGCTGAGTTTGATTGGATAAATCAAACTCAGCAAAGCTGATAACATAGATTGGATGTTTCTAAAATATGTGACTTGATAATTAATTTTACTTGCCTGTTTAATAATTAATCTCTTAATAAACTTTAAGAAATATATTCCCTGCAATGTAACTAGCAGTAACTTTACATAGTCTCTAGAAAAATCAAATAAAAAAGAATTTTTTTTTTTTTTTTGCGTTTAATAAGTTTTTTCTTACATTTTTTATAAAACGAAGTATATCAAATAATAAGTATGTTTTATACACTCCTTTTTTAAACTGAATGATAAATTAATAGTTTTCCATCACCAATATATGATTTATGAAACTATAAAAATGCATTAACATTGGTAGAATGATTATCTGTCACAACAGCCCTTATCGTAAATTCAGATTGGCGCATTGAGGTAATACACTCATCAGCTTCTTTTTTCAAACATAAACTTGTTATGTAAACTTTTGGTGAGGATTTTAAAATTAAAACAAAAACAACTTTATAAAGATTATTTTCTCAATCTTCATCAAATTGTTTACAACTTTGAGATTGAGCTGCTTTTTGGAAGTACATCTTAACCACAAGAAGCAGATAATCACTTAACAACAAATTTTTGTCAATAATATTTCTAATATAATATAGTTTTTTAATTTGTAATTTTCACCACTGCGAAATCATTTTTATAAAGAAATATGAAAATATGAAATATGATAAGCATTTATTAGGCAATGAAAAATTAAGAACTTTTATTAACAGATATTGACTCCAAAACAGTTGGTATGCCTGATATTTCTTGGCCTGTTTTGTTGCATTTTAATTGCTGTATGTATGAAACACAAGCACAGTAGAGTTTTTACATTTCAAAACGTTGTTTTGCAGTGTA